GCAGATGTCACGTTGCACCCTTAATAGGTGCTCGCTAACAGCTCATGTCATCTCTCTCTCTGTGTGTGTTGGGGCAGACGAAGGCGATGCAGATAGTGCTGGAAGAGACGGTGCGATGTGCATGGCGTTCGGCTCTGGTGGTAAGGTGATGCTGGCTACGGAGATGTTGACTACCTCGCCTCCTTTATCCACTGCTGGATAAAGATCACCGCGGTGATGATGTCTCTCCCCTGCGTGTGTTTTCTAACCCACGTGTCCCCCTCTCTCTCTCAGTGCAATCATCATCATCCTCATGATCTATCCATGTGTGGTGTGTGGGTCTTGCCTAGGGGCATCCCCAGTGGCAGCTGTCACTGTGCACGAGTCTGATGCCAGTAGGGGTAGCGATGATTATACTCTTAGGCTTTTTCGGTAAAGTCACGTAGGCAGAGGTCGCAAACGGGGTTTGATTCCTTACCCGTACCCGTACCCGGCCGCACCAGGGTCGCAAATGGGTACCCGTACCCGTACCCTACCCGAAATGAGTGACAAACAGTTACTCACCAGTGACTCACGGCCTACCCGTACCCGGCGGCAACAGGGTCGCAAACTGCTACCCGTACCCGTACCTAGCCGGGTACGGGTAGCCGGGTATCGGGTAGGGTACGGGTATCGGGTACCCGATTGCGACCTCTGCACGTAGGTAAAAAAATTAAATTAATAGAAGTAATAATAGAAATAAAATACTAAATCACGACGTTTCGGAGGCAACACAAGTCTCCGTCATCAGGAAGGGACCTTCACAGCTAATTGTTCTATTGCACGTGACGATGTTGGCCATTTTCTCTTGTAGCCCCGCTCACCACCCCAACACGTTCCATTCCCTGGTTACCACATTCAGATAAGCTCCTCCCCCCCTAACTTGTATTTAAGGGCTGGTCTCTTGGAATTTTTCCTCACTTGATGCAGTAATTTTAGCTGTGACGGTCCCACCTGATGACGGAGGCCACCACCTGGGCCACCACCTGGGCCACCACCACCTGGGCCACCACCTGGGCCACCACCTGGGACACCACCACCTCCTGGGCCACCACCAGGGCCACCACCACCATCACCACCTGGGCCACCACCACCTGGGCCACCACCTGGGCCACCACCACCTGGGACACCACCACCTCCTGGGCCACCACCAGGGACACCACCACCACCACCACCTGGGCCACCACCACCTGGGCCACCACCACCACCTGGGCCACCACCTGGGCCACCACCACCTGGGCCACCACCTGGGCCACCACCTGGGCCACCACCTGGGACACCACGACCTGGGACACCACCACCTCCTGGGCCACCACCAGGGACACCACCACCACCACCACCTGGGCCACCACCACCTGGGCCACCACCACCACCTGGGCCACCACCTGGGCCACCACCACCTGGGCCACCACCTGGGCCACCACCTGGGCCACCACCTGGGACACCACCACCTGGGACACCACCACCTCCTGGGCCACCACCAGGGACACCACCACCACCACCACCTGGGCCACCACCACCTGGGCCACCACCACCACCACCACCTGGGCCACCACCACCTAGGCCACCACCTGGGCCACCACCTGGGACACCACCACCTCCTGGGCCACCACCAGGGCCACCACCACCACCACCACCTGGGCCACCACCACCTGGGCCACCACCTGGGCCACCACCTGGGACACCACCACCACCTGGACCACCACCTGGGACACCACCACCACCTGGGCCACCACCTGGGCCACCACCTGGGCCACCACCACCACTACCTGGGCCACCACCTGGGACACCACCACCACCTGGGCCACCACCTGGGACACCACCACCACCTGGACCACCACCTGGGCCACCACCACCACCTGGACCACCACCTGGGCCACCACCTGGGCCACCACCACCACTACCTGGGCCACCACCTGGGACACCACCACCACCTGGACCACCACCTGGGCCACCACCACCACCTGGGCCACCACCTGGGCCACCACCTGGGCCACCACCACCACTACCTGGGCCACCACCTGGGCCACCACCACCACCTGGGCCACCTCCTCGGCCACCACCACCACCTGGACCACCACCACCACCTTGTGTTGCCTCCGAAACGTCGTGATTTATTATTTTATTGCTATTATTACTTCTATTAATTTTATTTTTATGTTTTTACCTACGTGACGACTTTACCGAAAAAGCGTAAGAGTATGAATCCTTGCAGTCACGAAAGCTACAAATCTAGAAGTAGCGATGATTGCTGCTGCTGCTGCTTTGTGAGTCTAACCTATGGGCACCCCCAGTAGCAGCTGTCCGTCCCTGTGCATTGAGTCTGCTGTCGATACGAGGGGTGTGATGATCGCCGTTATACTTCAAGCCGATCGAGTTGATTGTGCGCTGTGAGTCACCACTTATCTATGAATATATTTTTTAGTTTTTTCTCCCGCTATTTTTTGCCAAAGTTTTTTTCACGGTGACCTCGATGCGTCCCGTGCGTTCGCCGCTCGCCGGCGCGTCACTCAGCCCCCCCCTCCCTCTCTGCTTCCTTCACAGACGACGGCATCTACATCAGGCTGCTGTGACTCGAGCGCGTGATGTGGCCGGGTCTCATGGTCAGCGCCTTGAGTCGAGACCGGGTCTTAGGATCAGCGCCTTGAGTCGAGACTGGGTTTTGAGTTGAGACTGGGTCTCAGTGTCAGTATCTTGAGTCGAAACCGGGTCTTAGGATCAGCGTCTTGAGTAGCGACTAGGTCTCAGGGTCAGCGTCTTGAGTCGAGACCGGGTCTCAGGATCAGCGCCTTGAGTCGAGACTGGGTTTTGAGTTGAGACTGGGTCTCAGGATCAGCACCTTGAGTCGAAACCGGGTCTCAGGGTCATCATCTTGAGTTGAGACCGGGTCTTGAGTTGAGTCCGGGTCTCAGGATCAGCGTCTTGAGTTGAGACTGGGTCTTGAGTCGAGACCGGGTCTCAGGGTCATCATCTTGAGTTGAGACCGGGTCTTGAGTTGAGTCCGGGTCTCAGGATCAGCGTCTTGAGTTGAGACTGGGTCTTGAGTCGAGACCGGGTCTCAGGGTCATCATCTTGAGTTGAGACCGGGTCTCAGGATCAGCGCCTTGAGTCGAGACCGGGTCTCAGGATCAGTGTCTTGAGTCGAGACTGGGTCTTGAGTTGAGACCGGGTCTCAGGATCAGCGTCTTGAGTTGAGACCGGGTCTTGAGTCGAGACCGGGTCTCAGGGTCATCATCTTGAGTTGAAACCGGGTCTCAGGGTCAGTGTCTTGAGTCGAAACTGGGTCTTGAGGTGAGACCAGGTCTTGAGGCGAGACTGGGTCTCAGAGTCAGCATCTTGCCTTGAAACCGGGTCTCAGGGTCAGCATCTTGAGTCGAGACTGGATCTTGAGTTGAGACTGGGTCTCAGGGTCATCATCTTGAGTCGAGATCGGGTCTCAGGATCAGCGCCTTGAGACGAGACTGGGTCTGGAGTCGAGACCGGGTCTCAGGATCAGCGCCTTGAGTCAAGACCGGATCTTGAGTCGAGACCGGGAATCAGGGTCATCATCTTGAGTTAAGACCAGGTCTTGAATCGAGACCGGGTCTCAGGGTCAGCGTCTTGAGAACAACAAAGACGCTCCGCGCCAAGTCACCTCGGAATCTGTGGGAAGCTCCACATCGTAAATCGAACCCCGGTGGCTATGGCTTGAGGGGCCATCCATTTAGTATGAACGCATGGAGGTAGGGGGGGGGGGGGTTAACCTAAATGTGTTCGCTTGTGTATGGGGGGGTCTACTGACAATGTACGTACGTAAAGGAAACGGGGGGGGGGGGGCGGGGGTTGAAGCCTCGATAATAATTCGTCTACATTGGCCTTCAAATGAGCCACAGTTCAGTTTGTTCAGCTGTCAGCCCAAGTACGCTCACGGCCAACTCCACCGGTGACGATTATCTGAACTGGTCTTGGGCGTCCCCTAGGTCGACTCAGCCTCAAACGCGTACCTGGTGCGGTGTGCAGTAAACATCGCCACTGGGGAGACAAAGGCGGCCGGGCGTGGTGCTGGACACCCACCCCCTCGTGTGCCGTTGCGGCCTTCGTAGGTGCTTGCTAACAGCACTTGCCCCTACAGTCTGTGGCACTGTGGGAGAGGTGTAACTCGTGTGCCACCGTAGCCCTGACTGCTTGCAGCCATCACGCAGCTCGGAAAGAATAAGTGGCCAAGGTAGGCGACTTAATTCTTTAATGCAGCCGGCGGTTGACCGTCCGTTTGCTTAAACACGTTAATATTCATCTTCTTGGTTCTTTCGGTAAAGTCACGTAGTATGGAAATAATAAAATAATAAAAATAAAACATGATAAAATAATTCTCACGACGTTTCGGCCACAACGCAAGCAGCCGTCCTCAGGTGGAGAGCAGGTCTGTCGAGAAGACAGTCTGAAGACGGCTACTTGCGTTGTGGCCGAAACGTCGTGAGAATTATTTAATGTTTTATTTTTATTATTTTATTATTTCAAACCTACGTGACTTTACCGAAAGAACCAAGAAGATGAATCCCTGCAGTCACGAAAGCTTTAAATCGAACTTTCACGTTAATATTATTAATCATTGATGGTTTCTGCGTGGTTTAATTATCGGGCGTTCTATAGGATTCAGGGGGGGTGGGGTGTGTCAAGCGTATGTATGCAGGTGGGGGTGTAAAAAGTTCGCGTGCTTACAGGGAGGGGTCAAGTTTTGACAGATTTTTGCGTACCTATTAAATGGATGGCAACTAAAGCGTCGTAAACGCAGGAACGTCGTAAACCAGGTTTGGGTGCAGGGGGGGGGGGGGATCCGCCCCGCCCCCCCCCCACCTCGCCCCGCCCCCCGTAATTAAATTATTCAGAGGCGCGGAATTTTCGCCAATCGCTGCCTCGCCGCTGGGTGGCGCTGCGACATCAAAATCAACCCTCCAACCCAGCAGCGCCTTGCGGGGCTGGGCAGCCACAACAACGAGCGGAGCGCCCGGGTGGCTAAAACACAGCAAGTTGGCACAGCAGGGGGCACAGGTGGTGCATCGGCCACTCATCTCAGTCAGTCGACCTCGTGGCACCTGCAGGGTCTGCCCAGTGACCTCCTGGTGCACTTAGCCTGGCACAGTAGGGGGCACAGGTGGTGCATCGGCCACTCATCTCAGTCAGTCGACCCCGTGGCACCTGCTGGGTCTGTCCCACGACCTCCTCCTGCCAGCAGGCGTTCGACACTTCACGTGACCTCAAGGTGCACCCAGCCTGGCACAATCGTCGTGGTGACGTCACCGCCACTTAGTTATTGTTGTTGTTTACGTGTCTTGTACTTTGCACACAAATCGCGTGTTTGCGTGACTTGGCGTTTGTTTCGATTTAAAGCTTTCGTGACTGCAGGGATTCATCTTCTTGGTTCTTTCGGTAAAGTCACGTAGAATGGAAATAATTAAATAAAAAAATGAAACAAAACATTATTTTATTATGTTTTATTTTTATTATTTTATTATTTCCATTCTACGTGATTTTACCAAAAGAACCAATAAGTTGGCGTTTGTTGTTCGAACGTTCTGACGCCGACAATGGGGTGTCCGTGAACGAAAGAGCTTCACAGCTCATCGGATTTCTCCCGCGGTAATAAAAATGTTGATTCTGACTCTGGAACTCTTAAACCTCGCTGTGCTGCTGCTGCTGATGATGATGATGGTGGTGATGGTGGTGAGCGAATTATGACGATTAATGATTGCGTGTTGAACTTCTTTCGCACCGTACGTAGCCAACCGTGCCAACAGAGGTCACCCTTCGCGATGTCTTCTCTTGTGAATTATTCATTATCGCCGTGGTGTCTGTGGAAGGTCTAAGCGTGTCTATGGGTCTCTATGAGTCTATGGATCTCTCTGGGTCTCTAGGAGTCTATGGATCTCTCTGGGTCTCTATGAGTCTATGGATCTATCTGGGTCTCTATGAGTCTATGGGTCTCTCTGGGTCTCTATGAGTCTATGGATCTCTCTGGGTCTCTAGGAGTCTATGGATCTCTCTGGGTCTCTAGGAGTCTATGGATCTCTCTGGGTCTCTATGAGTCTATGGATCTATCTGGGTCTCTATGAGTCTATGGGTCTCTCTGGGTCTCTATGAGTCTATGGATCTATCTGGGTCTCTATGAGTCTATGGATCTATCTGGGTCTCTAGGAGTCTATGGATCTCTCTGGGTCTCTATGAGTCTATGGATCTATCTGGGTCTCTAGGAGTCTATGGATCTCTCTGGGTCTCTATGAGTCTATGGATCTCTCTGGGTCTCTAGGAGTCTATGGATCTCTCTGGGTCTCTAGGAGTCTATGGATCTATCTGGGTCTCTATGAGTCTATGGGTCTCTCTGGGTCTCTAATGAATCTATGGATCTCCTCTGTGTCTCTGTGAGTTTGTGAATCTCTATGGGTCTCTATGAGTCTATGGATCTCCTCTGGGTCTCTGTGAGTCTATGGATCTTTATGGGTCTCTAATGAATCTATGGATCTCCTCTGGGTCTCTATGAGTCTATGAATCTCCTCTGGGTCTCTGTGAGTCTATGGATCTCTATGGGTCTCTATGAGTCGATTAATCTCTTTGAGTCTCTATGAGTCTATGGCTCTCTCTGGGTCTCTATGAGTCTATGGATGTCTCTGGGTCTCTATGAGTCTATGGATCTCTCTGGGTCTCCATGAGTCTATTAATCTCTATGGGTCTCTATGAGTCTATGCATCTCTTTGAGTCTCTATGAATCTATGGATCTCTCTGGGTCTCTATGAATGCAAACGAGAGTTGCCTTTTTGTTTGAATTTTGACCGCGAGTGTTGTGGTCAATGCAAGCATGATCCCTTGTAAAAAAAACGTATCAGTTTTGTTGCCAGATAAAAGGGTAACAAAAACCTATTACTGGAGCACGTCTCGTTGATTGTTTTCACGTTTCACAACATGCAACCGCGTGCGTCGGACGCAGACCGGATTCCCAGAAAGGTTGGTCACACCTTTCGTTCTGCACGACCGAGGCGACAGGTTTAGCCACGCTTAATTGTGACAATTAGAAGCCAAATATAAAACAGAGGAGGCCTCTGCGGGGCGAGGAGGGGGAGGGGAGCGAACCGCGTGGCATCCCCAGCGGCGTCTCTCATGGGGATGCCAAACGACGGCATTTAGGAGGTCCGTTTATTCTCGTAATGAATGAATTAATTACTGCTCCTAACTGCAAATAGATAATTAACAATTAAATACGACTATCCCCCGATCGAGAGGGTGCACGTTCGATTGCCGCTCACGGCTAAAACGCCGGTTGGCGATTTATCCGAACCGGTCCTGGGCCTCCCCTAGGTCGACTCAGCCTCAAATGAGTGGCCTGGTGTAGCTGTGTGGTACGCATCGCCGCTGGGAGAGACAAAGGCGGCCGGGCGTGGTGCGGGCCACCCCACCCCCTCGTGTTCCGTGCCGGCCTTCACAGGTGCTGCTCGCTAACAGCACTTGCCACAACAGTCTGTTAAGGCTACACGGGGGATCTTTGTCTTGGATGTAACTATAGGGGAGAACAGCTGGTAGTGCATCTGCCCAGTCACCTCAGTCAATCAACCCACGGCACCTGCTGGGTCTATCCTGTAACCTCCTCCTGCACCTAGCCTGGCACAGCAGTCAACCCATGGCACCTGGGTTTGTTCTATGATCTCCTCCTGCACCTAGCCTGGCACAGCAGTCAACCCATGGCACCTGCTGGGTCTGTCCTGTAACCTCCTCCTGCACCTAGCTTGGCACAGCGGTCAACCCATGGCACCTGCTGGGTCTGTCCCGTGACCTCCTACTGCACCTAGATTGGCACAGCAATCAACCCACGGCACCTGGGTCTGTGCAGTGACCTCCTCCTCCTGCACCTAGCCTGGCACAGCAGTCAACCCATGGCACCCGCTGGGTCTGTCCTGTAACTTCCTCTTGCACCTAGCCTGGCACAGCAGTCAACCCATGGCACCGGCTGGGTCTGTCCTGTAACCTCCTGTACCTAGCCTGGCACAGCAGTCAACCCATAGGACCTGCTGGGTCTGTCCTATAACCTCCTCCTGCACCTAGCCTGGCACAGCAGTCAATCCATGGAACCTGCTGGGTCTGTCCCGTGATCGCCTACCAACAGCGAACTTTCGACACTTCACTGTGACCCGGATCCCCCTTAGATCAAACGAACAATAGATTCGTCAATCATCCCAATGTGGCAGGACCCTGCTGACAGATAGTCTTGGGACTCGCGGAGGCTTTGCTGGGTAAATTACTGACATTATCATTGAAACATAACGTTCATGAGCACACATCCCAAAGTAGTAGAGTTGTTTTTATTATGTGATAATAATAATCTTGAAATTCAAACGAGACTGTCATGGGTAGGTAAATCAAGGCCACCACCACGACCACCATCGCCATCATCAACATCATCATCACCACCACCACCACCAATTCCACCAATACCAATACCCACGCAGTTCGCCACTAACTGACGGTGACGTCTCCACGGCACCTGTGCCAGACCAGGTGCACTTTGAGGCAAGGCCGTAGCCATGGAGTCAACATTGGGGGGGACCAAATATTCCAGGCGGTCTGGGGGTCCCCCATCACAAGGAAAAAACCTAAATTTGAAAACGAATTTCCTGCCATTTCCTGCCTAAAATATTTTAAAAAATTCACTAACACAAAGGATGGACTTTAAAAAAAAAATGTCTAATAGTGTGTTGCAGTACATTCCTCTGTTTTTTTCTTTTTAACCTTTTCTTGTTTCATTGTACAACCATAACCACAATCATATAAACAGAAATCTATTTTATAGCAATATATTGGGGGGGGGGCATTTTTAGCACATTTGAATATTGGGGGGGGGGGTGTGATATTATAATTACGTCCTTGCTTTGAGGCCACGTGAAGTTTTGAAGGCTCGCTAACAAGAAATCACCACCACCACCGCCGACACCACCACCACCACCGCGATCATTACACAGATCTCGGGATCAGACTCAAGGTGGAGCTCTGGGCCCCCTTCGCGCGCCGGTGACGCGGCACCATCGCGACCACGGCGCGCCTAATGGCGCCCGTGCGCAGGCCGTAGATGACGGGGTTGAGTGCGGGCGGCGCCGTGTAGAAGAGGCACGTGAGGGCCGAGCGGGTCGTGTCGGGCATCGGGAAGAGCTTGTCGATGCGGTTGTAGATGATGACGAAGAGCAGCGGAGCGTAGAAGACGGTGAGCACCAGCATGTGTGTGACGCACGTGCGTACCGCCTTGTCGCGATTCGTGGCGGAGCCGGAGCCGGTAGCGACGCCGCCGGCGGCGACAGGATTGACCGATGTCGAGCCGGCCGTGAGCGTCGAGGCTTTCTGGCCGCCCGCGGAGGTCAAGGCGGCGCGAGGGGTCGAGTCGCGGACTCGGCTCCGCTTGACGAGGCACTCGTAGATGATGCTCGCGTAGGAGAAGGTCACGACGGCGAGCGACCCACCCACGGTCACCGCGGCGACCGCGACGGCGTACGCGTTGTTGGCGCTGCCGTCGCTGCACGAGATGCGCACGAGGCCCATGATGTCGCAGTAGGCCGACGGGATGGCCTTGGCCACGGGGCACTCGCTCAGCTCCAGCCGCAGCTGCAGCGCCAGCATCGGCGCCACGGCGGCGGCCGCCGCGGCCGCTGCCGCCGCGTTCACGGCGAGGGCCCGACCGTTGGTCGCCACGCCGTGGTAGCGCAGCGGCCTGCAGATGGCCGCGTAGCGGTCGAGCGCCATCGCGGAGAGCACGAAGCACTCGAGCGCGCGGTAGAAGTGGATGGCGATCGTCTGGGCGACGCACTCGCCCACCGTGATGAGGTTGGGCGCCGCCAGGTCGCGCATGATGCGCGGCAGCGTGGCGGAGCAGCCGACGATGTCGCTGATGGCCAGGTTGGCGAGCAGGATGAACATGGGCCTGTGGAGGCGCACGTCGCGGTAGATGGCGGCGCACAGCAGCAGGTTGCCGACGAGCGCCACGGAGTAGAAGAGGAGGACGACGGCGAAGACGAGCGGCCGCGTGCCGGCCGGCTCACGCAGCAGGCCGGCGATCAAGATGAGAATGTCCGGGCCAGACTTTAACGATGACGAGTTCGACTCCATGGTGATCAAGGTACTTTTAGTGGTGGTGATGGCGGCGGTGAGTGAAGGGGATGGTCGTGAGTGATCGATGAGGATCGGCGATGGTGTGGTGGTTGTGGTGGTGATTGATAGTTGTAGCCCCTGCAGGTTTTAAGCGGTACCTGCAAAAGGAGATGGAATGACGTATTACTTCTACACAACTCAACACAGCTCTACGTTGTTACTAACTCCCGCTTTTATGCAAGTCGGAGTACATTTCTGGAATCACCATCGATTACTCCTTTTCCACTGGCTTATCCAAGCCAAGCAAGCATGGAATCAATATGGTACGGATGAGTTTTATCCACTTGCTCATCTGAGCAGAGCAAGCATGGCATCAGCACGGAATCAGCACGGTACGGATGGGTTTTTATCTTCCACTAGCTGCCGTGCCGACCCACAACCAAACCGAGAACGCATGCTGCTGGCCTCATGCAAGAAGAAGTTTGCATCTAAACTAAACCTACAAATTAATCAATGTATTTTTTGTTTAACCAGGTAAGGCCCACTGAGCGATGTAGCTCTTTGTCAGAAGCGACCTGGCCACACATGATAGCTTAACGATGTGGCTCATCGTCACGTAGAACTTTATAGCAGCCAACTACTCCAAACGCTTGATGTTGATTCTAAATGTTCGTTTGTTCGTTCCTCAATCCACTTGTGAGGCAGAGGTCGCAACCGGGTACCCGATACCCGTACCCTACCCGATACCCGGCTACCCGTACCCGGCCGGATACGGGTACGGGTAGCCGTTTGTGACCCTGGTGCGGCCGGGTACGGGTACGGGTAGGCCGTGAGTCACTGGTGAGTAGCCGTTTGTCACTCATTTCGGGTAGGGTACGGGTACGGGTAAGGAACGGAAACCCGTACCCGGCCGGGTACGGGTACCCATTTGCGACCCTGGTGCGGCCGGGTACGGGTAAGGAATCAAAACCCGTTTGCGATCTCTGTTGTGAGGGTCGTGGCGGCAGCATGTTGAGTAGTGGCGGTCCAGACCTCCATTTCTCTGGGGACAGACTCTCGCTCTACATTATTATGCACTACGACACATTAACTACACACTGCTACACTACAATCTAGATTTGAAGTTTTCGTCACTGCAGCTGGGATCCATACTCTTTGGTTCTTTCGGTAAAGTCACGTAGGTAAAAAATAAAATAAAATAAATGAAAACAACTAAATTAAATCACGACGTTTTGGACGTTTTTTCGGACAACATAACTTTCGCTACGTTGTCCTTACCCGTACCCGTACGCGGCCGCACCAGGGTTGCAAATGGGTACCCGTACCCGTACCCGGCCGGGTACGGGTACCCGTTCCCTACCCGTACCCGTACCCTACCCGAAATGAGTGACAAACAGTTACTCACCAGTGACTCACGGCCTACCCGTACCCAGCCGCACCAGGGTCGTACCCGGGTATCGGGTAGGGTATGGGTATCGGGTACCCGGTTGCGACCTCTGGGCTACGGAGCCGCATTCGGCTCTAGACGGACTGCTTCGTGGCCTAATGTACGACGGTGAACACACGCGTCGCGGCAATTTAAATGTTGAGTTTTTACCAAATTCGAAAAAAAAAATGGCCCTTATTGTTATTTTGATTTTGCCGACTAACCCGTATTAAAAGATGCCGAGTCGCTCTCCATCTCTTGTGTGTGTGTGTCTGTTGTTATGTCTGTGGTGTGCATGCGTGTGGGTGTACAATAGTGAGGAGCGGTGGTATAGCGGTTAGCGTGCTATGCATCGAACCTGACTATGACTTGGGTTCGATTCCCACTACCAGGTAACGATTATCTGAACCGGTCCTGGGCCTCTGCTAGGTCGACTCAGCCTCAAATGAGTACCTGGTGCGGTGTGTAAACATCGCCACTGGGTCGACAAAGGCAGCCGGGCGTGGTGCTGGCCACCCACCCCCTCGTGTGCCACAGTGCCCGGCCTTCATAGGCGCTGCTGCTACTCGCTAACAGCACTTGCCCCGACAGTCCATTCACGGCTTCACGGGATCTTTGTCTTTGTGTGTGTGTGTTGTGTAGTGGTGCCGGGCCTCCGCTAGGTTGACTCAGCCTCAAATGGGAACCCGGGTGGTGCAATAAACATCGCCACTGGGGGAGACAAATGTGGTCGGGCGTGGTGCTGGCCACCCCACTCCCTCGCGTGCCGTTCCGGCCTTCATAGGTGCTCGCTAACAGCACTTGCTCTGCTCACCACCACTGTTAGTCATCGCTGTTGGCTAACAGCACTTGCACGCAACAGTCCCGTCAAGGCTATACAGAGGAGAAGGGGGGGGGGGGGTCAAATCAGCCTTTTGTGGAATCTTTATTTTTCCAACGTCAACCTCAGCACACAAAAAAAAAACTCCGAGTCTCCGTTCACCCCCCCTCCTACCACCACGCCCCACCACGCTTCGAACTTTGCCCACCGAATTCCTCAGCGGTTCGACTCTTTGCCCACCACGGCGACACCGTCATCCGTACGTCATTCTGACGTCATCTCGACGTCATCCTGACGTCATCGCGACCTCATCCCGACATCATTGCAGACGTCATCCCGACGTCATGAGACGTCATCTCGACGTGATCCCGACGTCATCGCGACGTCATGACGACGTCACGACGACGTCATCGCAGACGTAATCCTGACGTCATCGCAGACGTCATCCCGACGTCGTCACGACGTCCGCGTCAGCTGACGCCAACGGCGAGCGGACGACGACCGGCGGCCACGTGGTAATGCGCGCGCGCGCGTGTCAACATCATCGCACAATGGCAACAACAACAACGACGACAACGACAAAGACCCCCCATTGAAACTGAACAGAGTGTTTTGGGCAAACGCTGTTGGCGGGCAGCACCTGTGAAGGCCGGTACGGCACTCGGCGTGGGTGGGTGGCCAGCACCACGCCCGGCCGCCTTTGTCTCCCCCAGTGACGATGTTTACTACACACCGCACCAGGTACTCATTTGAGGCCGAGTCGACCTAGCGGAGGCCCAGGACCGGCTCAGATAATCGTCACTACCGGTGTTGTCGGCCGTGAGCGGGAACCGAACACCCCGGGCCGCCGGGGTTCGTAGAGCAGCGTAGCGCTAACCGCTGCACCACCGCTCCCCACAACAACACACAGACACACACAGACACACACAGACACACACAGACGCGCGCGAATAACTGACGTGGTTACCTTTCTTGCTGGTTCCCACGGCCGATTAATTTCACCACTTTCCGACGGCATGCAGATGCAGCACTCTCTCTCTCCTCCCTCTCCTACCTCTCCTCTCTCCTACCTCTCCCCTCTCCTACCTCTACTCCCTCTCCTACCTCTCCCCTCTCCTCTCTCTCCTACCTCTCCCCTCTCCTACCTCTCCTCTCTCTCCTACCTCTACTCCCTCTCCTACCTCTCCCCTCTCCTACCTCTCCTCTCTCTCCTACCTCTCCTCTCTCTCCTCCCTCTCCTACCTCTCCCCTCTCCTACCTCTCCTCTCTCTCCTACCTCTACTCCCTCTCCTACCTATTCTTTCTCTCCTCCCTCTACTCCCTCTCCTACCTCTCCCCTCTCCTACCTCTCCCCTCTCCTACCTCTCCTCTCTCTCCTCCCTCTCCTACCTCTCCCCTCTCCTCTCTCTCCTCTCTCTCCTACCTCTCCTACCTCTCCTCTCTCTCCTCCCTCTCCTCCCTCTCCTACCTCTCCTCCCTCTCCCCTCTCCTACCTCTCCTCTCTCTCCTCCCTCTACTCCCTCTCCTACCTCTCCTCCCTCTCCCCTCTCCCCTCTCCTCTCTCTCCTCCCTCCACTCCCTCTCCTACCTCTCCTCTCTCTCCTCCCTCTACTCCCTCTCCTACCTCTCCCCTCTCCTCTCTCTCCTCCCTCTCCTACCTCTCCTCCCTCTCCCCTCTCCTCTCTCTCCTCTCTCTCTCCCTCTCCCCCTCTCCTACATCTCCCTCTCCTCCCTCTCCTACCTCTCCCCTCTCTCCTCCCTCTCCTCCCTCTCCTACCTCTCCTCCCTCTCCTACCTCTCCCCTCTCCTACCTCTCCTCCCTCTCCTACCTCTCCCCTCTCCTACCTCTCCTACCTCTCCTCCCTCTCCTACCTCTCCCCTCTCCTACCTCTCCTCCCTCTCCTACCTCTCCCCTCTCCTACCTCTCCTCCCTCTCCTACCTCTCCTCCCTCTCCTACCTCTCCGCCCTCTCCCCTCTCCCCTCTCCTCTCTTTTTTTACGATCAGAGGAAACAAGAAGATGCTCGGTGTAGTCGGCACTTTGCTTCGTTCATCATTTCGTTTTTTGTTGTTTTTTCAATGCCTTGCTTTATGCGCCCCCCCCCCTGTTTAAATTAAATATTTCACGAAAGATTTCACCCCCTGCTTCTTCTTTTTTTACGATCAGTGGAAACAAGAAGATGCTCGGTGTAGTCGGCACTTTGCTTCGTTCATCATTTCGTAATTTTTATTTTATATAACTTTGCTTTATGTAAACCCCCACCTCTCGCTCACTCTCTCGCTCACTCTCTCGCTCACTCTCTCGCTCACTCTCTCGCTCACTCTCTCGCTCACTCTCTCGCTCACTCTCTCGCTCACTCTCCGCTCTCTCTCTCGCTCACTCTCTAGCTCACTCTCTCGCTCCATCTCTCGCTCACTCTCTCGCTCACTCTCTCTCGCTCACTCTCTCGCTCGCTCTCTCTCTCGCTCCTCTCTCGCTCACTCTCTCGCTCACCTCTCTCGCTCACTCTCTCGCTCACTCTCTCGCTCACTCTCTCGCTCACTCTCTAGCTCACTCTCTCGCTCACTCTCTCGGTCACTCTCTCTCGGTCACTCTCCTCGCACCCACTCTCTCCGCTCACTCTCTCGCTCACAACTCC